TCCATCACCTGTTTCTTCCTCTGGTGCAGCTTCAGTCTGAGCTATGGTTTCATTTGAATTTCTTACCAGCTCAATTACTTCATCATCCTGTTCCAGCCTCTCAGAAAGAACGTTAGTTTCATCAAAAACCACAGATGAGCGCAAAATACAACACAAGATTGATGCTCGCTAATCAAAGATAGTATAGTATAATATTGTCTCCACAGGGATTAGTTTTAAATAATGTTCGAGTAATTTTTGATTTAATTTCTATTCAGGAGGATCAACACTTGAGTTAACTGATTATGAACTAAGTTTAATTACTAAAATAAAGCAATTGACAATTAACAGAAAGGAATTAGAGATTCATAGAGTTGGTTTCTTATCAATGTGAGGAATACGAGTTTGACAGGATAAGTGCAAGATAGTTATTTGGGATTTAACTCTAGTTTAATTTACTCTAATGTTCTAATTATTCTCACGAATTCACTCGATGATTAGTTCAAACGTGTAGTCAAGACTCCTCTCTCGATTATATCTTAACTCTACGAGGTGAACTAATATATGTTTTAGCACTGTGAAGTATGCAAGCATGTGTTAATGGATTGGTCCTTAGGAAAACGTCTCTCAAATATTCTCCTAACTTGATTCAATTAACAGTTCAACAAGCTTTTTTGATTACTTAAGAGAATCAATGAGTTAAATAAAAAAACATAATGCAAATATAATCACCAAGATATTCCTCTTTCAATTAAATAAACTGATGAATAAAGCTGCAACAATGCAAAACTTCGTAAACGAATTCAAGCACGAACTAGAGTTACAATTCACAAATATTTACCAAAGCACCATATTCGTCAAACCCTTAGGGAAACTACTCCATAATTGTGGAGGAAGTCATCACAAATATAATTAAAGAATGAGAAAACATCAATCTAACGTTACAATCCAAACTCCCGTATTGAATTGATGGCAAGATGATGAAATCCTGTGTCTTGTAGACTCCAATACTTTCCCAAAGCTTCCAAGGTCAAAAGTCCCTTCAAAAACATCTTTTTGGTGTATTTATACCATGTAGGAGTGGGCCCAGGCAAAATTACCCTTTCCAAGCCGAAATGCTGCCCCATGCGGGGCGCTAGTGGGGAAGTTCAGAGAGCAAGTTCTGACAAACAACAACAAAACTCACTTAGGATCTGATCTATCCTGACTCTCTAGTCAAAGCAGTTAAGAAAAGTTACAATCATACAATTTAAGATACCTCCATGAGTCAAATACTGAGCCTAGGCGTCACAACTAAGGCACTCACTACTCTCAAGGCACAACAACGTCAAGAAAAGTCATCTCCATTTACTACATAGCACAAGACTTCACTATTCCTACTAAAAGAAAAACTAACCACACCCGGTTCAAACAAAACCATTGGGAAAGAACCGTGGTACAAAGAAAAAACTAAGGGGGAATTGTTACACTACCTAAGGAAAACAAAATATTTTTTTTCGACTTTAATCCCTCAAGAAGACAGCCGAGGAAATCCATCGTCGGGAAAAGTCAATTTTTTTTCAATCAAAAGAAACGACTACAAACAAACATATACATATATACATTCCCCATACACCCCACACTTAAATCATTTCTCGTCCTCGAGTAATCAAACTGCACTTCACATAGATACGACCTTCTCATCAGACAACTTCCTTACCGCATCATGTCAAGAGTATTTAAAACAGACTAAGTACCATATCATAACATCCTCGCCTCAAGACTCGACTCACGAGCACCATGTTTTTTTCACAACATGATCACTTACTCTAACACAAAGGTCAAAGAATTCACCTTACCTTCACAAATCATATGCCCTTACACAAACATTAGAGAGTAGTTCTACGCACGATAACTTCAAGAACAAATAAGAACTCAAGATAGAAAGAATTAACTCACTCTCAGAAATAGAATTCATGCGCCACAAAAGACGTACCATAGGCTTGCCCGTAGTGTAATACTCTACTAATTCGAGCTCATTCAGTCAAGGATCAAGTAAGACTTTAATTTGGTTGTAATGTAAGTTACAGGACGAGTAGGATACAATTTGGATAATAGTGACTACACCTCCCTGAGCACTTTAATACATATACATTAGCAATTTAAACCCCACACTTGTGTTGAACCAACCCCCACCTTCACACAAAATAGCATCAAGTTCCCAATATATTTAAGTACAAACAAGATGAGAACTACCACTAGCAAGTAATCATTTTTTTTTATTTCTACTACATGCACAAACTTTCTTTTTTCTTCTTTTTCAAAGTTCTGATTGATTTTTCTTTCTCTTTTTTTCCAAATCCTTACATGTGGTTCCCACAAATTTTCAACTAGTGAACATTTCTCCATTATTTTTAGCTCTACTCAAGAGCCTACCATAACTCCTCTCAGCTTTTATCAAGCTCATAAATATTTCAAGTGCTCATGAGAGGTAAAAGGTTCAAACAGATGGTCAAATCAAACAAAGGGGTCAAGCTTGTAGTGTGGTTACCAAATTAATAGGATTACACGCTCAACAGGGCTAACTAAGATACATGTTCATTAAGTGGGTAAAAGCACATATGTGGCTCAACAAAGAAATGCCTATATCACTTATTAGACTGAACAAGACTATTATTTCGCTTCTCAAACACACGAGGTAAGTTCTAGAGGTCAACTGGCATGCACATAATATAACGAAACCTCGCACACACATTGACACATAATTTACTTAGGATCGGATCTATCCCGACTCTCTAGTCAAAGCGGTTAAGAAAAGTTACAATCATACAATTTAAAATACCTCCATGAGTCAAGAACTGAACCTGGGCATCACAACTAAGGCACTCACTACTCTCAAGGCACAATAACGTCAAAAAAAGTAATCTCCATTTACTACATAGCACAAGACTTCACTATTCCTAATAAAAGAAAAACTAACTACACCCGGTTCAAACAAAACCCCTGGAAAAGAACTGTGGTATAAAGAAAAACTAAGGGGGAATTGTTACACTACTTAAGGGAAACAAAATATTTTTTCTTCGACTTTAATCCCTCAAGAAGACAGCCGAGGAAATCGATCGTCGGGAAAAATCTATTTTTTTTCAATCAAAAGAAATGACTACAAATAGACATATACATATATACATTCCCCACACGCCCCATACTTAAATCATTGCTCGTCCTCGAGTAATCAAACTGCACTTCACATATGGACGACCTTCTCATCAGACAACTTCCGTACCGCATCATGCCAAGAATATTTAAAATAGACTAAGCACCATATCATAACATCCTCACCTCAAGACTCGACTCATGAGCACCACACGTTTTTCACAGCATGCTCACTTACTTTAACACAAAGGTTAAAGAATTAACCTTACCTTTGCCAATCATGTGCCCTCACATAAACATTAGAGAGTAGTTCCACACACGATAACTTCAAGAACAAATAAGAACTCAAGATAGAAAGAATTAACTCACTTTTAGAAATAGAAAATTCATGCGCCACATAAGGCGTACCATAGGCTTGCCCGTAGTGTAATACTCTACTAATTCGAGCTCATTCAATCAAGAATCAACTAGGACTTTAATTTGGTTGTAATGTAAGCTACGTGATGGGTAAGATACAATTTGAATAATAGTGACTACACCTCCCTAAGCACTTTAATAAATATACATTAACAATTAAAACCCCACACTTGTGTTGAACCAACCCCAACCTTCACACACAATAGCATCAAGTTCCCAATATCTTTAAGCATAAACAAGATGAGAACTACCACTAGCAAGGAATCAATTTTTTTTTCTTTCTACTACATACACAAACTTTTGTTTTCTTTTTCAAAGTTCTGATTGATTTTTCTTTGTCTTTTCTTTTTCCAATTCCTTACATGTGGCTCTCACAAATTTTCTATTAGTGCACCTTTCTCCATTATTCTTAACTACACTCAAAAGCCTACCATACCTCCACTCAGCTTTTATCAAGCTCATAAATATTTCAAGTGCTCATGAGAGGCAAAAGGTTCAAACAGATGGTCAAATCAAACAATGGGGTCAAACTTGTAGTGTGGTTGCCAAAGAAATAGGATTACAGGCTCAACGGGGCTAACTAAGATACATGTTCATTAAGTGGGTAAAAGCACATATGTGGCTCAACAAAGAAATGCCTATATCACTTCCTAGACTAAACAAGACTACTATTTCGCTTCGCAAACACACGAGGCAGGTTCTAGACATCAACTGACATGCACAGAATATAAGGAAACCTCGCACACACATTGGCACATAACTTACTTAGGATCGGATCTATTCCGACTCTCTAGTCAAAGCAGTTAAGAAAAGTTACAATCATACAATTTAAGGTACCTCCATGAGTCAAGAAATGAGCCTAGGCGTCACAAATAAGGCACTCACTACTCTCAAGGTACAACAACGTCAAGAAAAGTCATTTCTATTTACTACACGGCACAAGACTTCACTATCCCTAATAAAAGAAAAACTAACTACACCCGATTCAAACAAAACCCTTGGAAAAGAACTGCGGTATAAAGAAAAACCAAGGGGGGATTGTTACACTACATAAGGGAAACAAAATATTTTTTCTTCGAATTTAATCCCTCAAGAAGACAACCGAGGAATTCCATCGTCGGGAAAAGTCAAATTTTTTTTTTCCAATCAAACGAAATGACTGCAAACACACAGATACATATATGTATTCCCCACCCCATACTTTAAATTGTGGCATGTTCCCATGACATACAAATAAAAAGCAAGAGGTAAAGGAAACTTTCCTGATTCATCTAGTCGGGGTCTGAATCAAAGTCGGGATCTCCTTTGCACGCCCGACCCAGTGCATAAATCCACACCGAGAGCTTTTTTTCTGCCGTCTTTGGGTACACCCCACACTTATCAGCTTCACTCTTTTCAATTTGTTTTTTCAGGCCCCCCCATTATCCTTATATTTTGAAGATCAGCCTTTCATCCCCCACTTTGAGCATGAGCTACCTTTCCTGAATATCTAGAATTGCTCTGCTCGTAGCCAAGAAGGGTCTTCCTAAAATCAGCGGGACCTCCCTATTCTCCTCCATTTTCACCACAATGAAGTCCACCGGGAACAAACATTTGTCTACCCGAACCAGCACATCTTCCACTATTCCTTCAAGTATGATTGTGGTCTGATCCACCAGTTGTAAGGATACAGGTATCGACCTGATTTCTCTAATCTCTCCCTCCAATTTCCTAAAAATAGAAAAAGGCATATGATTAATAGAATCACCTGGGTCACACAACGATGTTTTAATTTTAGTACTTCCTAAAGAGCAAGGTATAATAGAACTCTCTGGATCTCCACATTTTTGAGGGAGCTTATTTTGGAAGATGGCACTACAATGCTCTGTCAGCTGGACAACCGAGGTCTCTTCAAATTTTCGCTTCTTGGGCAATATCTGCTTCAAGAATTTAGCACAATCTGGCATCTGTGAAAGCACCTCTGTGAAAGATATATTCACATGCACCTGCTTGAACACTTATAGAAAGCGCCTGAATTGTTTGTCCAGCTTTTCTCTTCTTTGCTTCTGGGGGAAGGTAGAACAAACATGTATTTGCTCTCTTCAGTCTCATTATTTTTTGCATTATCATCCTTTTTTTTGAGATCTAGTCTTCCCTTTCTTTTTCTTCAGACCATCATCTACCATTCCTGCACCTTTTTGCATGTTATCATTTTTCTGCTCTTCCATAAACTCCACATGTCTTTCAATCGGCTCATCCTTTTTCTTTGCTATGGGATCCTCCAACTCGTGCCCACTCATCAAAGACACTGCATTTATTGTCTCTTTTGGATTTCTTTTAGTATTAGCAGGGAGCGTTCCTGAAACCCTCTCAAACAATAGAGTAAGTAGTCACCCAACCTATCTTTCCAGGTTTCGAAAAGCCGTGCCCAGTTCTTTGATAGTTGCACCATGTTCTCGTATAGCTGAGTTATGTGTTTCAAGACTCTCATCTGTCTTAATAATAAAGGCCTTCATCAGATCTTCCATGCTAGACTGATTGTACCGTGGAGGGTGATATTGCAGCCTTTGCTGATTTTGAAAACCTGGAGCTCCTTGTCCCTGGGGTCTAGAGTTATTTTGCTGCCATGAGTTTAGGATACCACTTGGCGAGTTCCAAGAAAAGCCTGGGTGCATCTGTCCCATAGAATTGAAATTATTACCAATCTGGTAGTTGCCTCTATCAAAGCTTCCCCCAACATTCACCACTTCACTTATAGCTAAGGCTTGATATTCGTGCGTTGGATGACCCATTCCACAGAAATCACAAACTGGTGATGGTTGGTTCTGGACCTTGGCCAAGGTCAACTTTCTTATCTATTTGGCCACGGCGTCTACTTTGGCTTGTCCTGCTATGTCAAAATCTACTTGATGAACCCCAACTGATTTTCTTCTATAATTACTCTCAGCAGGCCACTGGTTAGCATCTTCAGAGAGCTCATCAAGAATTGCCACAATCTCCTTAGGAGTCTTCTTCATTAAAGGACCTCCGACTGCAGTGTTCAGAGTTCGTCGTGAGGGAGGTGTCAGTCCATCCCAAAAGTCTTGGAGTTACATCCATTATTAAATCCCATTATGCTGACACTTCATTACTATCTCCTTGAATCTTTCCTAGGCCTCAAAAACTGTTTCGGTGTCCGTCTGACAGAAGTAGTGAATTTCCCTTCTGAATTTCACCGTTTGAGCAGTTGAGAAGTATTTGTCAAGAAACCTTTTAGTCATATCTTCCCATGTCTGGATCGACCCCGTTGGTAAGATACGAAGCAGTGCTTTACGTGATCCTTCAGCGAAAAGGGGATGCCCTTAAGTATACAACATCTTTTGGCACTCCATTGTACTGGAAGTTGTTCACGATTTCCTCAAAATTCATCAAATGAGTGTTAGGATCTTCATTCACTTCCCTCTGAAGACACAATTGTTCTGGATAGTTTGAAGTAAGACTTGCTTCAACTCGAAGTTATTTGCTTATACTGGTAGAGGTCTGTCACTGGACAGTCCCTGATTGTAGACTGGTATGGCATAATCACCCAATGCTCTACCAGGCCTGGGTACATCATTCTTGAATTGGTCTTCAACCAAGGGTCGATTTAAATTGAATCTTCGACCCCCATTATCGTCCACGGTCTCCTCAGCAGCTCTATGGGCTGCCTCAACTACTATCCATGCAACTTCTTGTCTCTGCTGTGTTGCCTCTCTTGCAGCGAAATCTACTTCATCCTCACCATTTTTATCCATATGTTTTGGGGTTGAAGGTTGCCCCAAAATCTTTTCGGTGAGTTCTCTCTCTTTCCTCAACTGTCGCAAACTCTTTTCTACCTCTGGATTGTATGGAATCAATTCCTTTGAAGATGATCGAGTCATACACTAGAGAAGTCAATCTGTTGCCTGCACACGTAAGAGGAAACCACGTGAATAATAAAATAAAACAAAATAAAATAAATTCCTCAATTAGCACCAAAAACTAATTTGAACACTATTGATTGCCAATCTCCGATAGTGGTGAATATTCTCGCCTGTCACACGGATGACCCGGGTTCGATCCCCGACAACGACGCCAAAATTGAAGAGCTAAAAACACATAACAAAATTGATTTTAAAAAAAGATAATATAATATAATATCGTCTCCACAGAGATTGGTTTTAAACAATGTTCGAGTAATTTTTGGTTTAATTGCTATTTGATGTTTGGCTAAAATTTCATATTTTTAGTGCGTTGTTTACTTTATATTTTGATGCTTTAATGCTAAATTATACTATATTTGTGTTTAATGGAGATTATTTTATGTGTAGGTACTTTGGAGATAAAATTGGTTCAAAGTAGAGATTTTATGTGTATACAAGAATGGATTTATGATTATTTAATTATTGGAATTCGCGGTTAGGATAGACATATACTTAATTGCCTTGCTTGGTTCATGTACATGAATTATAAATGCATTCTCTTTAGTTCTAGTTCCATAGACATATATGTGTTAGGTTAGCTTGAATAGGCGAGCAAGAACTCGACAGATTCTTGTGAGCGATATTAACCCTGTCAACTAATAAGCTAGATAAATTAGTTAGTCAATTTAATTGAAGAATACAATAGGAATGTTAGATAGCCCATAACCCTAGATCGTTTTCATAACATTAATAACATAAAAATCTGCTCTTCCCTTGTTCAAAGTTCATTATGTGTTTTTCTTTATTTTAATTAGTTTAGAATTAAATACTTTTAATTTTAATTCTTGTTTAGATAGTTAGGATAGTTTAATTTAGTTAATAGTTAATCACAAGTACTCGTGGGTTCGACATTCAACTTTTAGTCATTACTTGATGACCGCGTATACTTGCGTGTGCGTTTGGCCACAACACTATTATTCGAATGATGGTTTTTCTTATTTTAACGATCCTTGTCCATATTGTGGAGGACTGATCTCATCCGATTTCACTCATCTCTTTGAGGTTATGAAAACGGTCGATGCAATAGTAATACCCAACAAGAGTCGGGATCAAATTTCGCAGGGAGCTATATGAATGGGTGTTAGTAGTATATAACTTCGCGCGCGAGTTTGAATATCTAAATTTACACTTCTGCAAAATTTGGTTTTGTTTGAAAATCTAAATTAAACTATGATTGCGATTCAAAGAATGAAACTAGGAAATTGTTTTTGTTGTTTTTCAAATGTTTCAAAAGGCCTAGGGCTATGACTTTCACCTAGGTGTTTTCCTAATGGGTTGTAAACTTTAAAGCTTGTTTCATTGGTCGGGGTGTATTATATCTATCAGCTTTCAAGTACCCACTCAATACCTCTCGGTCAGAGAGTGATTTTGCCTAATTTGGCTTTCTCAAGTCCAAATGAGTATTGAATAAAATAGTTGATAAGAAGCTCACGTCGGGTTTTACTATCTCTAGGTTCAACCCTTTAATTGGGCTTATCAATCTCTCGATTGACCCAATTTCGTGCTAACCAAGTTTTTCTAGACTAAATCTCTCTTTCTCAAGCAGAGACCAAGTTAAATAGGTATGAATTAATGTTTGTAACCATTAATTCTTCAAATAAAAACAAGAACACAGCTAGATAATAAATACCCAACCATAAATAAGCAATAAATCAAACACCCATTAAGTTTACACACTAGGGTTGAGTCACAACCCTAGTGAAAGTTTAGCTACTCATGCTAAAACTAGAAGAAATAGGAGAAGAAATGATAATTAAACTCATATTGATAATTAAAATGATGAAATCAATATTCAAAAAGCTCAAAATAGCAAATATTACTAAAAATAGTAAAAGAAACTGTCTACTGTAGTACCTGATGTCAAAAAGTTGACCTAAAAAAGTGAAACTCCTCTAGTTATACAAAGCTAGAATATTCAGACAAAAATGCCCTTTCAGAGGTTCTGCGGCCGCACAATTCCATGTGCGGTCCGCACTTTTCTTCAGCTTGACATGAGTGGAAATTTTCGGTCGCACTGCTTTCTTTCTGCGGTACGCACAAATGTGAGTGCGGCCGCATGGCTCTTCTTCTCTGACCACACAATAATTGTGCGGTCGGCACTTTGAGATGCAGGTTCTCTGAACTTTTGCTCTAACCCAGCTTCTGCGGCCGCACAATTTATGTACAGAATGCACTTGTCACATTTCTCTAATGGGAATTTTTTCACGACATGCAACCACAGATGATATTCTGCGGTTCGCACTTCTGAACTTTTGTGCCTGTTTTTGTCCTTGAGTTTAAATTACTCATTCTTGAGTTGGATTTCATCTTGGGAGCTCATCTTCCAATATTCCTGCAATTAAGCATATTTCATCAGTTTTCGGGAATACAATTAAGTGCTTTTGGACTAAAACGAAAGCTAAAGAGCACTAATAAGTAGTCAAAATCCCCACATATCAACTCCCCCAAACTTAAGCTTTTGCCTGTCCTCAAGCAAATAAAGTGATTCCCGCCTCCACAAGTTAAGATCCATTCTAGCTAATCAAAGGTGAATCAATCACACATCACTTTGGACTAACAATTACCCACGCCACTTATGAATTATTAACAAGGCAACAAGTTAAACGTTTAAGCACAAATAGTTCTAGTATGACACTTAAGCATCAAGAGTTGACTTTATTCATCAAGGAAGCTCGCTCTTTCATGTAGGTCATTGTGGATCCCAAACTCCTCCTCCTCTACTCTCCGTTTGCCTATCTCACTTAAGAATATAGCACTCAATCCAAAGATTTGCGAAAGGTTCACTCATCTCTCTCAAAAGAATGTCGCAAGTACGACTTTAAGTACCAGAGGCTTGCCCCTCATGTAAATCACCACTAATGTAAGCTTACTCGGCTTGAAATCACGTAGGGATTTTTTCGGAATGCAACGAAGGCTTTTGGACTAAGGTTGGATATGCTATGATGGAATAGGTTCATCTTTCCTTAAGCACTCCATTTTCTTTTATCGGCTCATGTTTTGTCAATTCTTTGAGGCATTTTCTTTTCCTTAGGGGAACTAGAGAGACTTAACATCACTCTTTATTAGTCATGATATTCATTTTATCCTTTTTTTCTCCATGCTTTGCATCATTACTTTTCGTTGAATCCCTTCAACTTTTCAACTTATTCACTTTCTTTTTGCATTTTCCTTTTCTTTCTCTTTCTTTTTCTTGCCTTTCCTTCTCTTCATTTATTTTCTCTTTTTTGCCTTGATTCCTTTTTCAAACTCCTCTTCTCTCCCCCAAAACTTACATTTTTTGCCAATTGTTTCACAAGAGTGTTAAGGAAAGCTCGGGGTGCCAAGAGAGGGTCACGACAAAATGGGTAAAGACTTGTAACATAGTTATCAAATGAGAAAGGTTTTAGGCTCAAATGGGTTGACTAGGGATAACAACATTGGTGGATAATGGAAAATTTCAAGCAGGTCAAGGAGAGCCTACAATCACTTCTCAAGCCAAGTAAAACTTAAATTTTTGCCTAAAAACACATTCGGGGCAAGTTCTAGACCATTCTCACGAGTACTTGGACTTGCAACAACTATATCTCACCTCTCATGCAACTGGATTGTTAAAGAGGATAGAGTCAAGGGCCCACAACGACCATATTCAAGATTGAAAATGTAACGACCTGACCGGTCATTTTAAGCATTTGCACTCCTTTCAACTATTTGAGGTCTTGCATAACTTCCTACGAGGTATTATGACTTGTGTAAATTATCGGTTTTGGTTTTAAGGTATTTCAGAGTTAGCTTGGAAGAATGAATTTCATGTTGGAAGCTTAAGTTAGAAAAGT